ATAAAAGCCTAATATGCTAGGTCAGGCATATAGGCTTACCTGGGCCTCCGGGTTTACTTGTTGGGTTATGTTAGTACTACCCGGTTGGGCTTCATTTTGGACCCGAATGGACTCTTTTATTGGACCTAAATAAAAATAAAATAAATAAAATAAAATGAAATAGATAGATAGATAGATAGTAAAATGGAAAATAAAATACTAATAATAATAATATATAATAATATGTATATATTATATTTCAAAAACCATATAATATGTTTTCAAATATTATATATACTATATACGTTTCCAAAAATCGTTTTAAAAAATTATATATATATATATATATATATGTTTTCAAAATAATATATTTTCAAAAACTATATTATATATGTTTTCAAAAAACTGTTTTAAAAAACTTTATATTATATTTTTTTCAAATTTATATAATATGTTTTCAAAACCTATATTATATATATTCAAAAACTATATATATTATATATTTTGAAATTATTATATATATATATATATATATATATATATATTATCACATATACTATATAATATATAAAAATGTAATAAAAACACTTAAAGTCCCGAACGAAAATAAGTGTTTACGATATATAAAATATCAACTGAAAATGAATTATGACAATGTTTTTTTTTAAGTTTAAGCGTTCAATAATTACATGAATTTCGATTATATTTGAAATTACACTGGATCAAATTTTTAAATAAAAGATGATACAAAGGTCTTACATTTATGTTTTTTTTCATAAGATTTAAATTCGAGATCCTACAAGGAACATTAAACTTCTTATTGTTTGATTCAAAATGTATTATTTTGTGATCAATGATTGCAATAATAAAAATATTCACTTGTTTGATTGTGAAATTGATGTCAATGATGTACTGAACAGCAAACTTTTTCACTTATTTTTTTAGACTTAACACGTATAATTTTATAATTGGTGAAATAGTTTTTTAAATTATAATTTTAAAATACTTTTTTATAATTATAAAAAACAAATTAAAAGATTTTCATACATTATTTTATAATTTTTATGTTCTTTATTTTTTTATTCTTTAAAATTTTTATTTAAAAATATTAAAAATATATTAAAATAAAATTTTAGTTACAGTTGAAGAGACAAATGATCTATTATTATGATTTTAATGTGTCACCTCATCCTTAATGACAACTAACAATGAGGTGTTCATCTTGTAACAAAAAAATCTTAAGTCAAAATATTTTTTTTCAAAAAGTTTAGAGATCCACTTTTGAAATTTACCTTTTTTATTATTAATTTTTAACAATGACAACTGAATTTCATTAGAAAAATTTTACAACGTTTGACGAGTACAAATGAACATCATTAACGATGAACATCATTAATTTAATTTATGAAAATTTAAAATTCTAAAATACTTAACGTATAATTATAAATTAGTTAAAAATATATAGGTAAATTATTTAAAATAAAATATTAATTACTTTATTTTTTATAATATTTTTTTGGATTAAATAAAAATATGTCATTTGTACTGAGTTGCCCCCTAAAGTATTTTTCGGGATGTTTTGCCCACTGAAGTATAAATCGTTACCTAGTTTGTCCCAAACTGTTAACTTCGTTAAAAATAGTAATGGTAAATTATATATTTAGCCACTTAACTATTTTCACAATTCTGTTTTGGTCACTAAACTATGTTTTTATCAAAATCATCACTAAACTTAAGTTTTTATTTCGTTTTGGTCACCTAAATCGATTTGATTTATTTTTAAAATTTGTAATAAATAAGAATTCATTTATATCACATTTTACTCGACACACAAATAGTCAACCCTTGAATATTTAACTCAACGAAGCTAATAATTTTTACATTATAATTTTATATATATGAGATAAAAATTACATAATATATAAATATCATAAATTGAACAACAAGTTGAGTCATACTCGAACCCTGAATATTTAAACCCAATCTAGCTAATATTTTTTTCTCTTCAAAGCCATTTTTAGACTTAATAATTCATTCAATTTTTCTAAAATATTAATTAAAATTTTATATAAAGACGGTACAATCAAAATTAAATTAAAGAAAAATGTTTGTCCCATAAAAAGATGACAAGCAAGAGACACAATGAACCCTTTTTTAATGAAGAAAAAACAATAAGTCCCTTTGTTCATGGTACATATACTTTGATTTTGATACCTTAATTCATTAAATTATTTATCTTTAATTTTTATTTATTTATTTATTATTCTTCGAAAAATTTGTTGTCTCAGCCCCTTGCAGCCGTTAATGTTTTTTAAGTAAAACCACCAACTCTTTTCAAGTTTATAATAATTTTTGAGTTTACATTGTGTAAGCTTTCATTCATGTACTGAATCATCGATATTTATCTATTGATTGACTAATTCAGATAATTTATTATAAAAATTTATTATAGATGCGATCTTTTTAATCTAATTTTTGTATTCACAACAATATAATTGAACCCTTTAACATTATTTAAAAGATCTAACATCTCATCTCACTAGATCAATTAGTAATTAGTTTTTCCACTCGCAATTTTAATAATATAATTTTTGTAACTTGTTAAAATGGTTTAATTAATTATGGTCCATAACAAATACTATTAATGTGAATGCTTAAACAGATTAATCAATTATCCACTAAAATAAATTCAGTATTTAATCTTTTGATTTGTAAGAAATATTCAACCTGCATTTGATTCAAACTTAATAAATAATATGAAAATTGAGTTTTATATATATATATATATATATATTATTTATTTATTTTGAGATCATTAAAATTTAAATTATTCAAAACATAAATTAACCTTTTTAATTTTTGTATATGATATTAAACAACTATAATTGGAGTTCTAGTATCCATACATGTGTAATATAAATTAGGGATAATGCAACTTTTTTTCCTTACATTTTAGCACTTTTCTCAACTTAAATTATGAAACTTTGTTGTCACAATGTTCTCTAAATTTTGCAACTATTCTTATATTTAGTTATTTTAATAATCTAAAATTTTAAGATTGTGTCATGCGACATATCATCAAAATGATAGAAGAAATCAAGTTTAGAGATTACTATAAACAAAAATATATAAGGACCAAGTTAACAAAAGTTGGTAAGTTCAAAAAATAAATTGACTCGATCTACGTGATTGAAACCAAACAAAAATTTAAGTTTAATGATGATTTTGAGAGAAAAATAATTAGGTGATCAAAATAAAACTATGAAAATAGTTGAATGGCTAAATATGTAATTTATCCTTGCTATTTTAACAGAGTTAAAAGATTTGGGGAAAATGAGGTAATGATTTAAACTTTAAGGGATAAAACGTCCCGAAAAATACTTTAGGGGCAACTTAGTATAAATGACATACTTTAGAGGGTAATGATGCATTTAAGCTAAAACAGATTATGAAAAATAATGTAATTAATATTTTATTTTAAATAAGTTACCTTTAGATTTTTAACTAATTTGTAATTATACGTTGAATCTTTATAATTTTAATTTTTTATAAATTAAATTAATAAGGAACGTAAGTATGCGAAAAAACATACAAAACATCATAAGGAACGTGACATAAAGTAAAAAAAATATGTCATAAGAGCAAAACAAATGTGTCACAAGGATAGATTCTTATTTAAAATTGAAAAAAAAATCAAGAAAGAATAAAACCAAAGGGCATATTATGAAAAAAAAAAAGCAAGAAAAATAATGATCACCACCTATCAACAACTAATATTTAAATTGGTGTCATTGTTGGCTCGACAAAAATCAAAGGAAAAGAAGAAGGAGACACATAAATTGAAAAAAAAATTAGGTTAGAGAAAAAAAAACATTCACATCATTATTAATTTTTATGATTCTTCATTATTAAAATTGATGAGACTAAAATTCAGTGACAGATTCATTAAGATTCAGGGTAGACACATGTCTATCTTGAAATTCAAATTTTCATCAAATAATTACCTATTTTAATGATTGTGCCCACCCTGAAATTTTATCTGTGCCCGCACCGTATAAAATTTTATGTAATTAATATATATGTATGCCCACCTTAAAAAATATTTCTGAATCCACTACTGTTAGAATTTATTAAGTGGTCTTAATAATAAAATGAAATATTGATTTGTCTATATATCTTAGATTTAAGTAGCAATATATGTATATGTAAAATGTGTGTACATTCTCAATAAATTAAGAAAATTCTGAACAAATATTAATTTATAATTGACTCCATTATTAAAAAAATTAAAATATTTTTTGTTTGAGATGACCGAATAACTAACTTTGGAAATTGAAAAACTTGGATGATTTCTTTACCACTTTTCTAGCATTCATGTGATCACCGTTAACTTAGGTTGAGTCCACAATAACACCGTTTGTGGTCCCCCGTCAGTAGAACAAGGCTGCACGCTTTACTATTTGTGGGTTGGGTGCGTTATTTTCTATGCATTTCTTATGATTCTCATCCAACCTGGTGGCCTCGTGAAAGTTGTTGATAAAGTTGTGCGTTATATATTAATTCAAAATTTTGCAGGATACATGCAGACTAAAGATGGGAGTGTGATTATCCTTTCATTAATTTTAGGGTAAAATACAAGTTTAATATATAAATTTTTATTTTTTTATTTTATTTTAATTTTAAATTTATTTTTTAAATTTTAATTTGATAAATCAGTATTAAAAAATTAATAGAACTGCTGATATAATATTTTCTTTTATTTTTTTCCAATGATGACACATCAACATCACTATTAAATTTTTAACAAATAAGTATTACAATGAAACCTAAATTGAACGTTAGAATGATTTTTTTTTAAAAATTAACTACTAGATCCTAGCAAGGTTAAAGATTATAGACCCATCTCCTGTTGCTCTGTGGTCTATAAGGCTATTACTAAGATCCTTGTTCAAAGGCTGAAAATCATTCTTCCTAACATAATCACTCTTAACCAAACAACCTTTGTTAAGGGAAGAAATATTATGGATAATACTCTTCTTGCTCAAGATATTGTCAAAGGCTATGGGAGAAATTCTATTTCTCCAAGGTGTGCTATCAAGATTGATCTTCAAAAGGCTTTTGATTCTCTTGGCTGGGATTCCTTTCTTCCATTCTCAAAGCTATTGATTTGCCTCCTTTTTTTCATTCATGGATTGAAACTTGTTACAATGGAGCTAAATACTCAATCTCATTCAATGGTTCTTTGATTGGTTATTTCAAAGGTGAAAGAGGCCTTAGACAGGGAGATCCATTATCCCCAATTCTCTTTGTTCTTGCTATGAACATCCTTTCCAAGCTTCTTAATCTTGTTGCTGCCAGAGGAGTTTTTGGTTATCATCCTAAATGTAAAAAAGTTGGGCTCACTCATCTTACTTTTTCTGATGACCTTCTAATCTTCTGCAAAGGAAATATAGAGTCCATTGTCGGAGTTATCTCTGTTCTCCATAAATTTCATGAAATCTCTGGGCTTCAACTTAATGTGGCTAAATCTGAAATCTTTGCAGCAGGTATTTCTCCAAGGAATCTAGAAATCATCAAGAACTTTACTGGTTTTAAAATCGGTCTTTTACCAGTGAGATATCTTGGGGTTCCTCTTGTTTCTAGGAAACTCTCTGTTAAGGATTTTCTTCCCTGATTGATAAGATCATATCCAGGATTCATCAATGGTCTGGGAGGCATTTAAGCTATGCTGGAAGGCTTGAACTCATTAAAACTATCTTACAAAACATTGCAAATTTCTGGTGTGTTCCTGCTTCCCCAAACTGTTATTAATAGAATTAACCAAATATGCTCGAGATACTTGTGGAGAGGATCTGAAACTTCAGACTCAGGAGCAAAGGTAAGTTGGGGTAATTTATGCAAACCAAAGTCTGAAGGAGGGCTATGCTTAAAGGACTTAAAATCCTGGAACACGGTCTGCATGATTCTGTTTATTCGAAACCTTCTAGCTGGTCAAGGTTCCTTATGGATTGCTTAAATCTAATGATTTTTGTCATATGTCAACGAGTGCTTCTTCTAGCTACATCTTCAAAAAACTGTTGAAACTGAGAACCGTGGCCTTACCTATTCTTAATGCTGGAATTTTGAATGCTAAAGGGATTGGGGAAGAAGTTCGAATCAAGCATGAAAAAGTCCAGTGGCAAAAACTAATTTGGTTTCCACTTCACATTCCCAAATTCAGTTTTATTGCTTGGTTAGCCATCCTTGATCGGCTCCCTACTCGGGAAAGACTCTTACGAATGGGTCTCGTCACTAATGGTCAATGTATTCTTTGTAATGACGCTCTTGAAACAAGAGACCATTTATTTGCAGACTGCTATATGGTTAAATCTCTATGGAACGGTATCTTGGATCTCACCCTTAGGTCCAAACCTCAAATGTCTTGGGATATAAAACTGGTTTGGGCTTACTCAACTTGGAAAGGTAAATCTCTCTTAACCTCAATTATGAAGATTGCATGGACTGCTTTTATTTACATGGTCTGGGAGGAGAGAAACAGACGCATATTCCAGGGAAAAAAATCAAACTATGGAAGACATGCTTGACTCTATCAAGGATATTGTTGGTGCCCAACTCAGAAACAGAGATATCAATAGGCTAGACATCTGTTGTATAGTGGTCTTTGACCATTTTTTAGATTTTGTAAGAACTCTTTCTGGTTATAAAGCTTACTTATCCACAAAAAAAATGTAATAACTTAGATATTAACATGTAATTTACCCTTAATTTTATTACAAATATATTGATGTACTAGATTATAATTGACTCAAGGTTCGATGAAAAAGGTTTTACTTACTTTTATTTTTTTATATTTAAAGTTATACGTTAATATTTTAAAATTATATTTGAAGAGTTTACTTTTATAATCAGTCACAAATCCACAGTATATTTAAAGTGAGCGATAAAATTCGAATTTTTTAATTAATTATTTATTTTATTAATAATATTCATAATGAAATTTTATTTGTACTTATCCTATATAAAATTTGTGCTGTTAATATATATATATATGTTCACTCTAAAAAATATTTTTAAATATGTTATTGTTTCATTAGTAAATTATATATATATATTTAATTTAACTTTAATTTTATTCGTTTTGATCATTAAACTATAAAATTATAAATTTGATCATTCAATTTTGAAGATTGTTTTTCGATGACTCTACCGATAATTTTATAATAATATAATATCATGACTTATTTAATTAATATTTTAATCATTAAAGACTATTTAATATTTTAATTAACATTATTTTTATGTATTTTTTCATTAAATTAAACTCTTTATCAATCACTCCTTTCGTTGTTAGTCATCTAATTCTCTATTTTATCGTCTGTCAAACATACCATTAATCAACCACCCACACAAGTCTAAACCAGGCTTTTTTTTACCGAAATATCACATGTACAACTAATAATTACCAATCAGGCACACTCTCTCTTATTATTACAGATTAGCATCATTTCTGACAAAGTACGGATTGTCATCCACGCCTTCGTAGGGTTATGTCTGAGCTGACACCACGTAAAAAAAGATACGGATGGTGATCCGCTCCTTATCTGGTTTTGTCCGAGATGGAGCCACATAAAGTAAGGCGTGGATTACCATCCGCGCCTTCGCGGATTTTTGACACGTACGTAAGGCGCGAATCATTATCTGCGTCTTTCCTTTAATACTCCAATCGTCCACCTACCACATTTATGGGAATCCATCTACCCTCCCCTCTTCCTATAAATACCCCCTCTTCCTATAAGTATCATACCCAAACACAACCTCCAAACCACACTCAAATTTCAAATTTTATTATTCTTCTGAGTAACAATCTTTCTATTAAGAAGGTAAAATATTTTTATTGTATTATAATAAATTAATAATTTATTATTTTATTAAATTTTATTATACTAATTTTTTTTTATTAATTTTTGCAGTTATAAAAATAGAAGGTGATTTGCTACGTTTTGATGAGAATCATATCTCGAGGCATTTTTCCGATACAATAATAATTTTAAATTCTGTTGTAATTTAAATTATTGTTAATGTTTTTTTATTTAATTTTTAGATTACTTTATATTTTAATTTCTATAATATTTATTAAATTAGGAGAGAGATCGTATATTAGATTTATTCATTCTTAACCTTAAGTTAGAGATACCTACTCGTGTATGGTCGTATTTAGTCGAGGCTGGATTCAGTTACGTAGAAAAATATGAAGGGCACTGTAACCTTTAATCCAACCTTATTTATGCATTGGTTAAGAGGTAGAGACCAGAGACACACACATTCAATCTTCTGTGTGGAGAGTGCACAATTATGCTAGAGGAGGTTTCTATGCATTTGGGGCTTCCAGTAGATAGGGATGTGATTAATGGGGTGGCGGATGGTGACTGACATTCCTTGTGCGAGGAGTATCTTGGAGGTGTCCCGCCTAATTTCAATTGTGGTCGTATATTGTTAAATTGGTTAGATACAACTTTACAACATTTGAGTCGCGACGCCTCCGAGGAGCATATTAAAATATATGCACGAGCTAGCATATTACAACTCATAGGAGGGATCCTGATGCCCGATATATCGCGCAACCAAGTTCATTGTATGTGGTTGCGTCACCTCGTAGATTTTCATCATACTGATACACTCAGTTGGGGCTTTGCAGTTTTGGCATTTATATATAGGGAAATATGTCGAGCTACTGATTATTGAAAAAGTGCTACTGACTATTGAAAAAATGCTATCGACGGATTCTTATTCTTCTCCAGTCTTGGGCGTGGTATCACATGCCTTTTTTATGTCCGATGGTAAAAACCCGTTGGTTTTCCCGCTATTATGGAGGTAATTTCAATACTGATTTCATATATAAATGATTTTATTGAGTATACAATGAAAATTATTTCATTGAATAGGTGGTTAAGTGCAAGAAAAGATCATCGATATTTACCTGATGAATTGGAAGAAATTAGGCTACTCATTGATCAGAAGGCTGGTACAGAGATATGTATTTAAATATTATTATCTACTTTTAATTATCTTTATATAATTAGAATATTATTTTGATAAGAATTATATATATTTGTTTTAGCTTCAATGAGATCTTTAGTCTACTGAAGAAATGAGGATTTGCATCCCATCACTTAAGAGGCCTATTGGATGTCTGGATGACGGTGGTCCCTCTGATATGTTATTCTATTGTCGAGTGACATCTTACTAATCACGTGCTCTGCCAATTTGGTTTTGTACAATTATTCCGAAAGCACCCAAGAATCTCGACGATATACATATAATAGATAGACGAGGCAAAAAAGAAGTCGACTGGCTGCTGAAGAACATTGCGTGGGTAATGATATGGGAGGATCGACGTGGGTGCATTCCCCGTACGGAACCATTTACGTGGATCATTACTCGGTTGCAGATGATTATTATGAGTGGTTCAACACGAATGGGAAATCGTTCATATTTTTCAAGGAAGCACGAGGCGGGAGCATTAATTGACATTGATAAAGACGTCCACCATCACAACATCATCTCCCTTCGACTCATGAATGGAGAGCAGGCACTTCTGTCTCATCCTCAGTTGTAGCACCAGAACCATCAGAGTAGTCACCGTCTACATCGGTGTACATTCTATAGTCGTTTCATATGGCACCGCAACCATTTTAGATGGCACCACATCTATTTCATATGCCACTATATTCGGGTTAGAGGCCACCGCTTCCATACTAAATGCCACCACTATCGTAGAATTTTATGACCCCTCCTGATGGATATTATACTTCTATTCTTGTAGATCCAACTTAAGGTTCATATATTGGTTATTTGGCAGGTGAAGGTTAATCACACACATAGACATATCTGGTGCATTTTTTATACTCATTGATGTCGATGTTTTTGCAATTTTCACACTTTTCTGTGAGCGGTGTGATAGTCAGTCATACACCTCTAGGATCCTTATTCTATGGAGGTGTTACATTGTCATTCGTCCCTCATCAACAAAATGTATCTGCTCCTGATGATGATGATGAGAGTGAGAAGGAAGAACAAGTTATACGAAGAAATCATCATCGACATAGACAGCCACCGCCCTACGGAACATATTCAAGATGCAGACATCGATGGAGTTGTTTACTTCGTTATGTTTTTATTTAATTTTGTTTGTTTACCAGCAATTGTAAAGTTTTTATTTAATTATGGACTTTTTATTTATTTTGTTTATTAATGTTTTTATTATTTAATTGTTCAAATTGTTTTTATTATTTAGTTGCTTTTATTTTTTGAGTTGTATATTTTTCTTGTTTTTAGTTTGTTTGAATTGTTTTTATTATTTAATTTCTTGAATAGCCAATTACTCAGTGATGCTCAAATGACATTAACTGAAAGTAAATGAAAATTAAATAACAGAAACTTAGATTTCATAAACAACAACTACATCAATCATAACATCAACAGTTACTTGGTGACAAAAGAGATGGACAATTTTTCCTATTGTGTCCTAGGTTTCTACAATGCCCACATCTTTTGTTTTATTTAGACGTCTCCCGAATATCCATATCACAATGAATTCGAGTGGATTTTGGACGAGCGGGCTCCTTCAATAAGGATGGATCTGGTACAATCAGAAATGAATTTTGAACCTCATTA